TTCTGCCTTCCTCCGCATATTGGATCTGATGGTTGTCAAGGATAATGGGGTCTGGATTTCTTTTCGCAATGTGTATTATCTGAAACTTTTTTTAGTGCTAATTTTCCATTGCTTCTCAAAGTTGTTTATGAGTTCAATTGCTGCCTTGGTCATGTCGGCTAGTAGCGGCTTTGATAGTCCCGGTTGGCATATTATTTGGGTGACATCGTCAGCGTATGTGATGTATTCTCCATGTTGGGGTTGGGGCAGGTCAGCTGTATATATGTTGAATAGAGTGGGGGAGAGGCAGCTTCCTTGTGGTACTCCACTTTTCAGTTCTATTACATCACCCCAGTAGCTGCCGATATTAAGCCTAGCAGGTCTGTTGTCTATAAAGCTGCAGAGAGTAGCAGTAAATCTCTCAGGAAGTCCTAGCTCAGATATCTTATATTTTAGGCTTGTGTGCCAAACTTTGTCGAAGGCTTTCGAAACGTCTCTAAGCACTATATTACACTGATCTTTTTTTCGACACTGCGTTGGCTATATGCTCGTAGATCAGGGCTATAGCTGTATGGGCCCCTCTGCGGTTTCTAAACCCATGTTGCCTGGTGTATTATTTCTCTTCCTCTTCTATGTACTCCACAAGTCTCTGGTTTACTATTTTTTCAAATATTTTGCCTGGTACTTCGAGGAGAGACATTGGCCTATAATTTTCAGTTTGGGTTGGGGGGTTTACCTGGCTTGGGGATTAGTCTTATTGTGGCATTCTTGAAGTATGTGCGGAAGAGTCCTGATGCAAGAGCTGCATTTACTATACATGTGTATTGATGAAGTGCAATCACTGCACCTATATAAGGCTCTAGTTCGGCCGCATCTAGAGTACCCCATAGTACCACTACACACAATCAAGAAAAGTAACATGCAGAAACTGCAAGCAGTGCAAAATAAGGTGCTAAGGAGAGCAGCAAAACCTCGTCCACCCCAGCCAGTAGAGACCCTCTTCAGACCATGCTTCCCTCCCCCATGCCCTCCTTCTTCTCCTACCCCTTCCCCCACACAAGACCCCTCCCTTTTCCCACACCCCCATGCCCTCCCCTGTTTTTCCAGCCCATGCACTCCCTGGTACCCCCACCCCAAGCTTTCCTTCCTACCACACAATTTCATCGGGCTACCCATGCCTTCCCTCCCATGTCCTTCCGGCCCCCCTTACCCAAGGCTTCCATCAATTCCCCCTAACCATTGACCTCCCTTCTTCCGTTCCACACGCCCCTCCTGCTCCCCCATCCCGTGCCCAAATGGACCCCAACACCAGGCCCTCTGAGACACACCACCCCTGACCCTCCTAGCTTCCCATCCGTGCACATTTACGGAGACGCGTTCATGATAACATTCCAAAGCAATAAATTCATTCCCTGCCCACTACAAACGTCAAATTCAACGCCTCACCCACAAAAATATTTAGCTTTAGACGCTCGGGAAGTGAGCGAGGCGGCGGTAAAAAATCTCAGTAGAAAACTTTTGAAAAGCCATCAGGCAGAGAAGTTATATTGTGTGTGTGTGTCGTGGCTGTCCAAGATTATAGAAATTATAGCAAAAATCAGAGGGAAGAAGTTTGGCCAGTTATCTGACTGCAAAGTTGGCGGCCCCGAGGGAGGAGGGCAGGCCAGGGCCCCCAGGGTCTGTGTGTCTGTCTGTGTGTGTGTGTTTTTATCCCTGTGGGGAGCTCGTCTCCCGCACCGTCTGCTCAACTACCTTCGGGTTTTTTGTTTGATATCGATACTATTTGATCGATATTCCTATGGGGTGATCCTTATGGTGGGGTGATCCTTATGGTGGGGTGATCCTTATGGTGGGGTGATCCTTATGGTGGGGTGATCCTTATGGTGGGGTGATCCTTAGGGTGGGGTGATCCTTAGGGTGGGGTGATCCTTATGGTGGGGTGATCCTTATGGTGGGGTGATCCTTATGGTGGGATGAACCTTATGGTGGGGTGATCCATATGGTGGGATGATCCTTATGGTGGGGTGATCCTTATGGTGGGGTGATCCTTATGGTGGGGTGATCCTTATGGTGGGGTGATCCTTATGGTGGGGTGATCCTTATGGTGGGATGAACCTTATGGTGGGGTGATCCTTATGGTGGGGTGATCCTTAGGGTGGGGTGATCCTTAGGGTGGGGTGATCCTTATGGTGGGGTGATCCTTAGTGTGGGGTGATCCTTAGGATGGGGTGATCCTTAGGGTGGGGTGATCCTTATGGTGGAGTGATCCTTATGGTGGGGTGATCCTTATGGTGGGGTGATCCTTATGGTGGGGTGATCCTTATGGTGGAGTGATCCTTATGGTGGGGTGATACTTATGGTGGGGTGATCCTTATGGTGGGGTGATCCTTATGGTGGGATGAACCTTATGGTGGGGTGATCCATATGGTGGGGTGATCCTTAGGGTGGGGTGATCCTTATGGTGGAGTGATCCTTATGGTGGGGTGATCCTTATGGTGGGGTGCTCCTTATGGTGGGGTGATCCTTAGGGTGGGGTGATCCTTATGGTGGGGTGCTCCTTATGGTGGGGTGATCCTTATGGTGGGGTGATCCTTATGGTGGGGTGCTCCTTATGGGGGGTTGCTCCTTATGGTTGGGTGATCCTTATGATGGGGTGATCCTTAGGGTGGGGTGATCCTTATGGTGGGGTGATCCTTAGGGTGGGGTGATCCTTATGGTGGGGTGATCCTTATGGTGGGGTGATCCTTAGGGTGGGGTGATCCTACAGTGGGTGATGCTATGGTGGGGTGATCCTTATGGTGGGGTGATTTTTAGGGTGGGGTGATCCTTAGGGTGGGGTGATCCTTAGGGTGGGGTGATCCTTAGGGTGGGTTGATCCTTATAGTGGGGTGATCCTATGGTGGGGTGATCCTATGGTGGGGTGATCCTATGGTGGGGTGATCCTTATAGTGGGGTGATCCAATGGTGGGGTGATCCTTATAGTGGGGTGATCCTTATAGTGGGGTGATCCTTATAGTGGGGTGATCTTATCGTGGGGTGATCCTACTATGGATGATCCTATCGTGGGGTGATCCTTACTGTGGGGTCTTCATTATTGTTGGGATCGACCTGAGGGTGGGGGGTCCACCATAATGTGGGGGTCCACCATAATGTGGGGGTCCACCATAATGTGGGGTCCACCATAATGTGGGGGTTTACGTTATTGTGTGGTCAACTTTACTGCGGGTTCTTCGCTAATGTGGGACCCGGAGATTTTATCCACTTTAGATTGGGTGTCCCGGTGATTGGTTCCTCTGGTGATTGGTTCCTCTGGTGATTAGTTCCTCAGGTGATCAAATTCAGTGTCACTCATTCATGGAGTTTACCAGCATGTTCAAGACTAGCAATGAATAGAAACCAGGTTACCAAGTAATGAGAAATCATAGATTACAAAATGAATTAAATTAATTGATTCAGCAAAAAATAAGAAGATATTTGTCATAGCAGAAGTACTTCACATCCAACACACTCGTCCATTTAGCAACCTTCTGCTCATGCTTATGTGCATCAGCACGACATTTGTGTGAAGTATGTTGTGTCGTGTTGATTTTTTTTTTTTTTTTTTTTTTTTACATTTTCTTTCTGCCTCTGGTGATGCCAAGCTGAACTTGGCGAAACGTTTTAGGACCTTTAAAAGTTCAAAGTGAACTTTGTAGTTTTCGAATTTCATTACTAAGAAATATAAAGGCATGTCGAAATCAACATTTTGGTCATGTTAGTAGTAGGTAGTAGGCATTCTTCAGTCTCGGGAGACTATTGAGTTGCGCTCTGGTTTCCAGGGCGCAAAACTTGGGTAGGTCAATATCGAGGAGAAGCTGTTACCCATGCAGCAGGTCCCCCCCCCCCTCTCCACGTTGCTGAAATTATCCAATGGAAAGGCAAATGCCAATACACATGGTTCCAGCACCGTCGCAGGAGCCGCCAGAACGAGATCGAAGTCAACAACGAACTGCCTTAGGGGCTCCAACTCCGGATTTTTCCTCGAGGTTGACTCCTGAAGCCTTTCCCAAAACAGGTGTATGGCCGCAAGACAGCGGAGGTTTAAAATCAGAGTTTTCCTTCCCCTAGATGGGCTGCCTTCCCAGGCTATCGAGTCCCATCTACCCGGAGCAGCTGGTTTTAAGGCGCCAGAGGCACGCGCTCGCCCCTTCTCCTGTCTGTAAAAGCAGTTCCGCCGGACTTAAAGACTAAGCCACCCGTGTAGGCCAGGAGTTGGACTTGGTTGTCAGAGGCTATTAGAGATGCATGCCGTATAGGAGCTTTTTATAGGTCATGGGAGCTCGTCCCCCATTACCACCCCCCTGGCTATGACAACCCCATGGAACCATGTCTACAATAACGAATGTAGTTAAAATATACTGATGTCACAAGTCATAGCTAAGCGGCAAGATACGAGGCCGTCACTATAATGTATTGCCAAGATATGAAGCTCTATTAGATCCACAAAAGCTGCGAATGACATCATTAAGTACGGAACGAGAGTTGCTGCTGCGTCGTACAGACCAAAGGATGACCTCGTAAGCCCCTCCAATGACCAATGCCAGGCCCATATTGCAGCACCGAAATGAAAATCATCAAGAAACTGAACCTCCTTGATGACCAAACCACACAACAGAAGATGGAGAAACGACAATGTTTCGGTCCGTCCTGGACCATTATCAAGCCCGTGTGTGATACACGACTAGAAAATGGTCCAGGACGGACCGAAACGTCGTCGTTTCTCCATATCTTGTCGTGTGGTTAGGTCGTCATACCTTGAGCCACGTTGTTGTGTCTCAAGGTCTGCACTGAGCCTCCTTGTGTCGGGGTCTCATGGCCGCTCCCCCACCCGAAGATGTCCTTCTAAATCCTGCTGGAATCAACCACACTGACAAGAGAATCAGTCTCTGAAATCTGCTGATAAAGAACCACCTTGTGTCCAGAGCGAGCCAGATGGTCCGGCAAGTGGAGGAGGAGATCCTGCTAGATGATACATCCGGCCACTAGACAGAGAGGCGAGAAAGGTCACCACTAAGGTCCTCACTATGGTCACCACTGAGGTCACCACTAAGGTCCTCACTATGGTCACCACTGAGGTCACCACTAAGGTCACCACTATGGTCACCACTGAGGTCACCACTAAGGTCACAACTAAGGTCACCACGAAGGTCACCACTAAGGTCCTCACTATGGTCACCACTGAGGTCACCACTAAGGTCACCACTAAGGTCACCACTAAGGTCACCACTAAGGTCACCACTAAGGTCCTCACTATGGTCACCACTGAGGTCACCACTAAGGTCACCACTAAGGTCATCACTAAGGTCACCACTAAGGTCACCACTAAGCTCACCACTAAGCTCACCACTAAGGTCACCACTAAGCTCACCACTAAGGTCACCACTAAGGTCACCACTAAGGCCACCACTAAGCTCACCACGAAAGTCACCACTAAGGTCACAACGAAGGTCACCACCAAGGTCATTACTAAGGTCACCACAAAGGTCACCACCAAGGTCACCACGAAGGCCACCACCAAGGTCACCACGAAGGCCACCACTAACGTCACCACCAAGATCCTCACTAAGGTCACCACGAAGGTCACCACTAAGGTCACAACTAAGGTCACCACTAAGGTCACCACTAAGGTCACCACCAAGGTCATCACTAAGGTCACCACCAAGATCCTCACTATGGTCACCACTAAGGTCACCACCAAGGTCACCACCAAGGTCACCACTAAGGTCACCACTAAGGTCACCACCAAGATCCTCACTAAGGTCACCACTAAGGTCACCACCAAGGTCACCACCAAGGTCACCACTAAGGTCACCACTAAGGTCACCACTAAGGTCACCACCAAGATCCTCACTAAGGTCACCACCAAGGTCACCACCAAGGTCACCACCAAGGTCACCACTAAGGTCACCACTAAGGTCACCACCAAGATCCTCACTAAGGTCACCACCAAGGTCACCACCAAGGTCACCACCAAGGTCACCACTAAGGATGCACTACAAACAGACCTTCTGAAGGGGGAGAGAGAGATGAAAGTGACGAGTCTATTTAATAAAGCATCATACAGTTCTCTTAACTCTTAACTAAAAGCAAACACTAGGCGCCCTCGGTGACATCATCATCATCATCATATTCATCAAGAGTGGTGCTAAGATATCAATATGTCATTATAAAAATGGGTCAATATATTGACAAATTTATCCTCATCCTCCATGAGTGATTTAAGGGGACACAGTGTCACAAGGGATAACACATCCGGCTGGGTCACAAGGTTGACATTGTACATTGTACCTTGTACATTGTACCTTGTACATTGTACATTGGTTGAAACTTGATGGGAAGAGATCTCTGTACTCCAGCTGCGGAAGATTGTGAAAAGTACAAGATTGGACATCTGTATGGTGTAACACCACAGTCCTTGCTACATGCATAACATTACACCATATTACATCACACACACACACACACACACACACACACACACACACACACACACACACACACACACACACACACACACACACACACACACACACACACACACACACACACACACACACACGCCCTCCCCCTCTTTTCTGCCCCCAAGCCCCCCTTCTCCCCATCCCTCCAAGCCTCTCCTCCCCCCCAAACCTCCCCATCTCCCACACACCCCCAGCCCCTCCCCCCTCTCACCCACCCACCCACCCAATCCTCCCCCTCTCACTCTCCCCCCCCCATCCTCCCCCTCTCCCCCCCTACCCTCACCCCCCCCAGGCCCTCCTCCACCAGTCTTTCCGTACCAGATCCTCCCAGCTCCCCCACTCACCCCGGTAGGGAGCTGGTCGGCCGAGCGGACAGCACGCTGGACTTGTGATCCTGTGGTCCTGGGTTCGATCCCAGGCGCCGGCGAGAAACAATGGGCAGAGTTTCTTTCACCCTATTCCCCTGTTACCTAGCAGTAAAATAGGTACCTGGGTGTTAGTCAGCTGTCACGGGCTGCTTCCTGGGGGTGGAGGCCTGGTCGAGGACCGAGCCGCGGGGACACTAAAAAGCCCCAAAATCATCTCAAGATAACCTCAAGATAGATAACCCCAGATCCCACAGGTCCCCCCAGAGGAGAAGCAGAAGAGAGTCAGTTTCAGGGTTATGTACTCAAACATAGATGGGATCACAAGCAAGGCAAGTGAACTAAAGAAAGAGCACAAGAAGTGAACCCAGATGTAATTGGACTCACTGAAACAAAACTCTCAGGAATCATAACGAATGCCGTATTTCCCCAGGAGTACACAGTAATAAGGAAAGAGAGGGAAGGTTGGAGAGGAGGTGGAGTGGCCCTACTAATGAGAAAGGAATGGAGTTTCTAGGAGATGGCTATCCCGGGCTGTGAGGGTTTCAGAGACTATATAGCAGGCACCATGACAATGGGAGCACCAAGAAAAGTAGTAGCAGTGATACATAACACTCCACCAAATGACAGAAGACCCAGTCAAGAGTATGACAACAACAACAACATGGCAGTTAACACTATAATTGAGAAGGCAGCCTCTGCTGCCTGTAGAAACAGATCCCACCTGCTCATCATGGGGGACTTCAATCATGGAAGGATTGACTGGGAGAACAAGGAACCGCATGGAGATCCAAACTATTGGAGGTGGTGACTAGAAACTTTCTAACCCAGCATGTCAGAGAACCCACAAGGATAAGAGGAAATGACGAACCAGCGAGACTCAACCTAGTCTTCACTCTGAACGACTCCGACATAAGAGAAATCGGTTTTGAGGACCCAGTAGGAATGAGCGACCACAGTGTACTGGCGTTTGAGTACCTGATTGAAAAAGGGTTATTGGACTCGAGGAGGGGTACAGAAAACAAAAGGCTGGCATTCCGAATGGAAAACTATGAGGAGAAAAGAAAATTCCTAACAGATATAGCATGGGAAACAGAGCTCAGGGGGAAAGACTGCCCAAGATATGAGGGATTACATCACGCAGAAGTGCAAGGACGCAGCAAACAAGTTTGTCCCAGTCCAAAAGGAAAACAGAGAAAGGAAAAGGAGAAACCCATGGTTTAATCAGAGATGTAGGCTAGCTAAGCAGCAAAGTAAAAGGGCATGGAGAAACTATAGGAATAACAGGACATTGGAGAGCAGAGAAAGATACCAGAATGCCAGGAATGAATATGTCAGGATGAGAAGAGAGACAGAAAGACAATACGAAAATGACATCGCAAGCAAGGCAAAGACTCAGCCTAAATTGTTGCATAGCCACATCAGGAGAAAAACAACAGTAAATGAACAGGTTATGAAATTAAGGATAGGGGCGGAAGGATTCACTACAAATGACAAGGAAGTGTGTGAGGAACTGAATAAGAAATTCCAGGAGGTCTTCACCTTAGAGCAAGGAGAAATTCCAGAGATAAGTGAGGGAATAGCTAACCAGGAACCACTGGAAGATTTTGAGATTACCAGCGGGGAAGTAAGGAAGTGCTTACTAGAGTTGGATGTAACAAAGGCTATAGACCCAGATGAAATCTCCCCTTGGATACTAAAGGAAGGAGCAAAAGAACTGTGCCTACCACTCTCCATAGTGTATAACAAATCACTGGCAACAGGGGAACTGCCAGAAATTTGGAAAGCAGCTAATGTAGACCCGATATACAAGAAGGGGGTTAGACAGGAGGCACTGAACTACAGGCCAGTGTCCCTAACCTGCATACCATGCAAGCTGATGGAGAAGATTGTGCGAAAAAAACTAGTGGAGCATCTGGAGCGAAGGAACTTTGTAACACAGAATCAACATGGGTTCAGGGATGGCAGGTCTTGCCTCACAGGGTTACTTGAATTCTACGACCAGGCAACAAAAATAAGGCAAGAAAGAGAAGGGTGGGCAGACTGCATATTTTTGAATTGTCAGAAAGCCTTTGATACAGTGCCACACAAGAGGCTAGTGCGAAAGTTGGAGATACAGGCTGGAGTGAAAGGGAAAGTACTCCGGTGGATAGAGGAGTACCTAAGCAACAGGAGACAACGAGTTTGTGTGAGAGGTGAGGTCTCAGATTGGCGAGAAGTTACAAGTGGAGTCCCGCAGGGGTCAGTACTTGGACCTATATTGTTTCTGGTATATGTAAATGATCTCCCAGAGGGTATAGATTCGTTCCTCTCAATGTTTGCTGACGATGCAAAAATTATGAGGATTGAAACAGAGGATGATAGTAGGAGGCTACAAGATGACCTAGATAGACTGAGTGAATGGTCCAACAAATGGCTGTTGAAGTTCAACCCGAGTAAATGCAAAGTAATGAAATTAGGCAGTGGAAACAGGAGGCCAGACACAGGATACAGAATAGGAGATGAAGTACTTAATGAAACAGACAGAGAGAAAGATCTAAGAGTTGATATCACACCAAACCTGTCTCCTGAAGCCCAAATAAAGAGAATAACGTCAGCGGCATATGCGAGGCTGGCTAACATCAGAACGGCGTTCAGGAACCTGTGTAAGGAATCATTCAGAATCTTGTACACCACATATGTAAGACCAATCCAGGAGTATGCGACCCCAGCATGGCGCCCGTACCTTGTCAAGCACAAGACGAAGCTGGAAAAAGTCCAAAGGTATGCTACTAGACTAGTCCCAGAACTAAGAGGCATGAGTTATGAGGAAAGGCTGCGGGAAATGCACCTTACGACACTGGAAGACAGAAGAGTAAGGGGGACATGATCACAACCTACAAAATCCTCAGGGGAATCGACCGGGTAAACAAGGATGAACTATTCAACACTGGAGGGACGCGAACAAGGGGACACAGGTGGAAGCTGAGTACTCAAATGAGCCACAGAGACGTTAGAAAGAACTTTTTCAGCGTCAGAGTAGTTAGTAAATGGAATGCACTAGGAAGTGATGTGGTGGAGGCTGACTCCATACACAGTTTCAAATGTAGATATGACAGAGCCCAGTAGGCTCAGGAATCTGTACATCAGTTGATTGACGGTTGAGAGGCGGGACCAAAGAGCCAGAGCTCATCCCCCGCAAACACAATTAGGTGAGAACTAGGTGAGTACACACACACACATACCTGATTTGACCAAAGAGCCAGAGCTCAACCCCCGCAAGCACAACTAGGTGAGGACACACACACACACACACACACACACACACACACACACACACACACACACACACACACACACACACACACACACACACACACACACATACACACACATACACACACATACACACACACACACAACATAATAGACACAACAACATCAACGTAATAGAGCAGCTTCTGTCGCTGGCAGGAAGGGATCCAGACTACTAATCATGTGAGACTTCAACCATGGGAAGATAGATTGAGAGAACAAAGACTCACATGGAGGACCAGATACATGGAGAGCTAAGCTGCTGGACGTGGCAACAAAACACTTTCTAAGCCAACGTATGAAGGGACCAACAAGAATGAGAGGGGCAGATGAACCAGCCATGCTTGATCTGATATTTACCCTTTAATGAGTGGGATATAAGGGAAGTTAAGTTGGAAGCCCCCTTGAGAATGAGTGATCACAGTGTATTGATCTTTGAGTACCTGATTGAGCTAGGATTTATCTCCCCCCAAAAAGAACTAGGAAACAAAAGGCTGGCATACCGAAATGGGAATTATGAGGAGATGAGAAGTTTCCTAAGTGAAATATCATGGGATACAGACCTCAGAGCTACGTCTGTTCAAGACATGATGGACTATGTCACCCAAAAGTGTCAGGAGGCAGTAAACAGGTTCATCCCGGCCAAAAATGAAAAATGCGAGAATCAAAAGAAGAATCCATAGTTAAATAGGGCATGTATGGAAGCAAATGAACTGAACAAAAAGGCGTGGAGGAACTTCCGAAATAACAAAACACCAGAAAGCAGAGAGAGATACCAGAGAACCAGGAATGAGTATGTTAGTGTGAGAACAGAAGCAGAGAAAAATTATGAAAATGATATAGCAAACAAAGCCAGGACCGAATCAAAGCTACTCCACAGTGACATCAGGAGGAAAACAACAGTGAAAGAACAGGTAATGACACTTAGAACAGGCGAGGACAGGTATACACAGAATGATAAAGAGGTGTGTGATGAACTCAACACGAGGGTCCAGGAGGTCTTCACAATAGAACAAGGTGAGGTCACTGCACTAGGAGTGGGGGCAGTAAACTAGGCGGCTTTTGAATAGTTCGAAATTACGAGACATGAGGTCAAGAGACACCTGCTGGATTTGCATGTGACAAAGGCTGTTGGTCCAGACGGGATCTCACCATGGGTACTGAAAGAGTGTGCAGAGGCACTTTCCTTGCCACTCTCCATAGTGTATTGTAGGTCACTGGAGATGGGAGACCTAC